ATTCATAGAATATCTCAGCTTCAGAAGTTCGGAGATTTAAATTGAACGCAACTCCGGCAAACCATGAATTTACGATGGCTTACATATAAGGATGGCAAACATCGATAAAAACCCGGCTCCCGTCTCACATTTGACTGGCCTTTGCCTGAATGTTTGTAAGAATGTACCAACCGGTAACGAAACTGGTCGCCGTCTGCCTAGAGTAAATGGCGCCACTAAACGAAGCTAAAGTTTTGCGACTTAATCCACCAAATGCAGCTAAAGTTCTGCGACTTAATCACCTGATTCTGGACTGTGTGGTTAGTAAATTCCACAAAATTAGGAAGGTTGTTTTCAATAGCAGACACACACACAACAGAACGGAGTGCGTCAAAACGCGTGTTTGTTAATTTTTAGTGATAAAGAATTACGAAACGTCGTAGAATAACTTACTTTTTTCGTCCATTGTGGCAAAGAAGAAAACGACAGATAGTACCTTTAAGGTGGGTTATTTTCACAAAAACGAGATGCAATAATGAAAAAAAATGATTATTGTTGTTCATTTTCAATTTTTTCCTATTCTTCTTTCTTCCTATGCTTCTTCCATATTTTCGTTTAAATTTAATTTGTTATACTAAATACATATTTACGCATATTTCTATGTATATATATATATATATATAAATTTATATCATTTTAATACAGATTTACATATTTTCTGTAACCTAAAAATAGGTCTATGTATACTTTGTGTCTGTATTTAACGTTTCAATCTTTTGCTTTATTTAAATATCAATTATTATCATAAATTTTAATGATTACATTATTTCATATAGTATTTTAGATAAATTTATAAACAATTTTAAATATTTAAATATAAACTATGAAAGTAAATACACGTAGATTAGATCAATAAAAATGGACATGGCCTAGTAATCTTTATCTATTCATTAACACGAATAACATTTTCAATATTCTAATCAATTTTTATATAGCCGGAGTTAGTTTCGACCTAGGCAAACCTTTGCTAAAAAAGTACACTTTCTCCATAAGGCTTCTATGAATGGAATGACCTGTTCGAAGCACGAACTCCTGTACCGTCATGATGTTTAATCGTATGGGAAATCCACTCAGGATGCGGTACCGTTACGATTTTTAATCGTATGGGACATCCACTCACGAAATATTTTCTAATTTTATTATATTACCACCTTTTTATTACATAGATCTTTTTCAAAACATAACTGCTTTTATAAAATTATATAGACCCATTAATCACAAAAACTGCCCTGGCTTCGGGGGCTTCGCCCCCGACCCCACCGGGGCCCTTAGGCAGGCCCTTGCACCCCACGCCCAGAGAACCCCCCCCCCTTGAAATGACCTGGCTACGGGCCTGTATTTCGTGGTACAGTTGTTGCACATCGAATCATTTAGTTAGAAGAGAAAAAGAAAGTTATTTTTTAAGAGAGTTTCCTTTCAAATATACTACAGTGTTTTGTATATTAATAACAAAATTGGATTGAAACTGTGTCACGCTTTCTTGTAATTATTGTATGCGTACTTGTTCATAATAGGAAAATTAAGAATTTTATAGGGACACGGATCATGTTGGAAAGGTCGGAGTGAGGGATCGAGATAAGAGCACCCTAGGGGAAATTCTTGTTTTTGATTTCGCTTTTTAATTATGTACGTAATGTACAGGATAATGTTTTAAAATCAGAATATCACTGCAGCAGGCAGGTCATCTCCAACATTCTACACATCATACATAGATACATTGTCATTATTATTTCAGATAAAGTATTTTTTTAAAATTTATTTCAACAATCTTTAATGAGGGTGGTCCATCCAGAGCCGAAGCTGATCATTAGGGACCCTCAATACACATAGTAAGACAAAACAAAAGAGCGTATTAAACTAATTAAATTACAGTAAAATAAATAACAACCTCTCAATACAAAATTTACGTAAAGAATTAATTCAAAATTAAATAAAAAACTTAATATAAAAATTAAAAAAAATTACAATATCAACATAAATTGATATAGTATCAATATCAACATAAATTGGGCTAGATAGGCCTATCTAACAATGAAGTACCAGGGGTGCGGTCGATCCCCCCTTTTAAATAAAGTGCCTTTTAAATATGCTCGCTTCACTCACAAATAACGCACCCCACGAATTCTGAAAGCTTCGCTAAATTGCTCCGAGTTCAGCTTTCCCCCTGCGCTTTAGTTTCGACCCCCCCCCCCCGTTAGATTTTTTACCGTACGCCCCTGAGTACTGTATCACAATGAACAGACGGCACTCATGAGGAAAGTACAAGAGCTTGGCACAGGTCAAATATTTTTACACAAGGATGATATGGAGTACTTGAGTAAAGTGAATTAAAGGCAGGCTAAATAGGCAAGTGCTACAGAAACTAGGTAAGAAGCTAGAATTGGGTCCTCGTGTGGGAATGTACTAATATGTCTGCCTCAGTTCATGACAGATGCCTATTCTTTTGGAAAACTGTGGACTAGACAAAGCTCATGCCTCGACAACATGAAATAGTAAGCAGATCAACGAGTTGACTATTTACGTTGACTAGCAATCTATATAATCTATACTAGCCACTATATAATGCTTACGCCAGCCCTGTGCATGCTCAGTAATAGATCGACGTAAGCATATCCTCGAAATAATGCTTACGTCACCCCTGCGCATGCTCAATAGATCGACGTAAGCATAGCCTATGACTAATGCTTACGACTCGGCGTAAGCATAGACACTTCGCACAAAAAAAGTGTTCCACCGTGTTCCACCGAAATGCATGGTGGGAATACGAAAAATGGGACGCCCCCTACAGCTGGATATAAAAAACTTGTTCCCAACTTTCGTTACCAAGTCGTCGCGTATTTTACATAGAGCTATTAAACAACTAGAGTGCTGACAAGATGGCGCATTTCTTTTTTTTTTCTTTTTTTACCTCCCAAAAGTGGGGGCCGGGGCCGGACCGGCCCCCCCCCCCTAAATCCGCCCCTGCTATTAAGTAAATTCAGGTGTCTTTATTTCAGTTTTGAATTTGATCATGGAGGAAATTTTTGATCAGATTTCATCAACTGATGATAATATCCAGCCATTTAGGTACCATCCATTATTTCTTTTGCAAGAGTATGGAAACATATACAAGGGGTGGGGAGGGTTCAAGCTTTAGCTATTTATGAATGTACTCTATTATGAAAGAATATTAATGATCTAAAAATGACAACAATCATTCTTTCATTCTTTGGTGATCCCCACCACCTCAATTAAGAGGTGGTGGGGGTCACCAAAATATATACAGTATCTTCAGGACTGTTTTGGGGTTCGACCAAAACGCCTTTTTCAACAGTTTACTAATGCAGTGGTACGTTATCATAACCCTTTTCTATTAAAAAAAACACTTCTGAGTTACACTTGGCCTTATACATTAGCTCAACCCGCCCTCGATAAACTAACATTAGGTTATCTCACTATATTAATTGGATTAAACATATTATCAAGGATAAGTACTGAGTGTTTAACACTGGTGTCCTTGGATTCAATTATGGGTAAACGGATTAGTTGCCTTTTTTATGAGGTTTTAATTTTTCTTAAAGTTAGTTTAAGGAGGGCTGGTCGGCCTAATGAGGAAACCCCACTTCACATAAACCTGATTACAGCCCTGATGTCATATTGTACTTTATTTTCTTGAATATGTTTATATTAACATACTGTATTCATGGACGTCCCTCTACTTGCATTCTTCTTAAGCAAAAATTGTTTTCATTCATACTAATGTAGTACATCATTTTTTAAACCATGATTATAAATAGCTTGTGGCGATCGTCTAGATTATACTGTACTGGATTGAGAATGGAATTTCTTCAACTTGAATAACCAGCAAGGAAAGTGTTTGATATTTTTATATAATAAAACAATAACTTTAAATTAAAGAATACCATCAAGTGTTTATTTGATCTTACAGCTAATTCACAACAGAGGAATGGAGTGGTCACAACAGAGGAAAATAAAATCATATGAATTCATCATAAGATATTTGGTAAACACAAAACATGTTAAACTGGTTTGTTATTTAGGTGGTACTGAAAAGTTGTACTACACTTTTGAAATTACTATATCAAAAATGCAGCAAATAATTTATACAGTATTTTAAATGTATAACGTTTGCTAATAGCAAATTAAATCACTCCCTTTACACAAGAATAAGCTCCAATCACTTTCACAAGATGTGCTTAATAAACTAAGCTTCATTATGAGGCTTAGAGAGTGGGGAAAAAAAATCATTTGACAGCAGGATTTGAACACAGGACCTTGGGATTGGAAGCGGGCAAGTATCTTAACCACCACGCTACAACTGAACTACATGAAATGAAATACCAAAATTTAATAGCATTTATAAACCCACAGCAGGCACTTCGCAGAGTGCACACCACCTCAGTTTCAGAAATTTTGGACCACTCCTTACGGATTTTGGAACACTTGTGGGGGACCTTGAACCCCCTGAGAATATCTGGTATTTACCACCACTGGTAAACTTTTGCCAGATCAACTTTATTAATGTGAATTCCATAGCATCAAACTTTACACCCTAAAATTTTACCACCTCTTGCATAGACAAATATGTACCATTCCACTAAATGTTAAGATAATCCATTCAGTAGTTTTAGCATAATCCTGCTAGCTAACAAACAGACAGACAGACAGATAGTGGCGAATAAATAACCTCCTTGGTGGGGGTACAATTGAATGACAAGGTGATGAATCCCAAAATCATTAGCTCCTTTATTAGTGACATCATGAGTAGATGGCCCTCACACAGAATGTCTCTTCATTTTTATCAAATTCATCGTTTATGAAAATCAGAATCTCGGTGCTACCGCTCTGATGGCTAGGGGAAAACCGCAACCCCAAGGTACACGTTTCGCCTCCAGCAAGCTGAAAGACAAAAATCAAAACAGAATTGGATCAAAACAAAAGGAAACTTTCTTGTAGTATGTGCTATATAAAGACTCGCATTATCATTATTATTAACAACCATATTTCCTAATGATTACCACGTAAGGCGAGACTTTTTAAATACCTTATTTAGCAAACCCACCGCCCACCAATATTGATGATTTCAAATAAAAATAAAATTTCATTTTTGGCCAATTAGCGCACCTGTCACCAGGAAAATATGGAAATTTCAGGAGAAAAAAAAAAAGTTTTTTTATATTTTTATTACCCCCGCCACTGCCTTGAAATCTACAAAAATAAGATACGTATACTTCTTCCCAATTATATAAATTTAATAGCATCTAACCATCCCATTACTACACTATTTACATTCACCAATAAAATTTTATTTTTATTTTCTCCTCCCTCTGGATGGTTTTGGCAAAACTCTTTGCTTAATAAAAAACCAAAATTTTATTTTTATTTTTTTCCGCCCTCCTCTGACGATCTATAAAAATATAAGTTTGGGAAACAAGGTATAAAAAAATTCTTGCCAAAGTACGTCAAGCTTTGGTAAACACACATGAATATAATGAAAATGATGATGAAAATATGGTAGTATGATATGAAGGGAAATTACTTTTTTTCTTTTACTTACCTCAATTCTTGTTTCCTTGAACTGCAGTAGATCATCTCGATTGCATCGGATGTTATAAATCTTCTTTTGTGGGTAAGGATTTGTGTAGGTGATCCTCTGAAACAGAATATTAAACATAAAAAAAATATTAGTCTTCATAAACAAACTTCTAAAAGCAGAAGTTGGAGCTGCAGATTTGTTGTATGTATATTGCTAATGCTTGGTTTGAATTGTTTAAAATAACATTTTCCTAACAATGAGGAAAAAATTCAGCCTGAAACTTTTAGTTTATCACTAAGTTCCATCCTAAAATTAGCAAATCAACTTACTGCTAGTTGCAAATATCTCATCATACTGACCTTATTTGAACCTTTGCCACCTCCAACAGGAAGCTGGAGTTCAAAAGCCTTGGTTATGATTGGTAGTCTGCATGAAACGCATACCAACCAGGAGCGAATAAGCTGATGGTATTCGTTGTCTATGGCAACAGTCAAGGACAAATCAATTTAATAATTTATGAATTCAAGCATACATTATTATCTTTTATGACAGAGACTACTGATAAATATTACTGATCTGATTATCATTCATGTGATTTATTATCATTATTGATAATTAATTACTGATAATTATTAGTATCAGCTTATTATTGTTAAATCTAATGAACCTAGAATAAAAGAAGACGGCAGTAAATATTTTCAATCATTATCAAGTCATTGCGTCAATTAAATATAATTGACAAAGCAAAGTAAAGGATTGCATCAATTAAAAATATTTGACCAATCAAAGTAAAGGATACCAACAACATTAATGTACATAAACTTGCTGCCAACAGATATAGGGCGAACACCAACATTTATCTCGTGGACTGAGTTGGCTAAGAGCATGAATGGATCGGCCGGTGCTAATTGCATCTCCAGAGGGTGTGAGGAGAAAGCCTGTACCAGGCGTGATGCTTGAGTGCCTCTAAGAATGAGAGAGAATCTACTGGTTTGCCCTTCTACTGAATTCACATCCACCCTCTGAAGTGAATGGACGTAAAACTGCCATGTCTGTAGAGGGCGTGAGAGGTAAGGCGTTCTGGGGGAAAAATGAAATTTAAGAAATATTGAAACAATGACAATTTCAACCCGAAGAGTTTACTTTGTTATGTGCGAAAGAGATTTAGCAATACATTATTATAGAACTGAATATTCGGTATAGTAATACTTACGAATATATCAAAACAAAGAATTTCTTTATTTCAGGCGAGGCTCCACAAGCTACTTTCAAAAATACATCTTGAGGCTCCCCAGGTGACTAAAAAAAAAAATCTAAATATTAAAATTCTGGATGTAAAAAATTAATTGTGAATGTGGTGAATAAACTGGTCTACAGTTATATATTCCAATTGTTTACAATATTTTATGTCTTTTTTGTACTCATCTATCTAATGTAGTGTACTTGTATTTATATACAGTAGTGCTCTATACCAAAACGGTGTCAAGCACTCCAAAAGTTGACTGGCTTACATTATTCCTGCAGTTCTTACCACATTCTTAGTATTACAGATGACATTATCATCACTACATTTAACATACAGCTTTTCAAGCCCTGGTCCACTCACAGGAACTCCTGTAAACAATATAAATAATTCTAAAAATAAGCAAAAAGAAGAAACCATTGTACTAACTTAGTGAAACAATAATGATAAATAAAATTTATTTTTTCAAAGTATCAGTTTGCATTGTGGTACAGTGTCTAAAAACCAAAAGGTGCACCAACTATGTTCAAATAAAATAAAACAAAAATATTCAAAATAGAGAAAGTGAGGCCATATTACTCAACGTTTTGACTTTATTTGGTACAGTGTCTATCTCTTTAAAAATAAATATTTTACCTGGTAGATTCTGGAATGGAGGTAGTCGAATAGACTTCTTCAGGAATGAATGTTCCGGATGATTGAATCGGAATGTTTGGTCCAAGACATGTGGCTGAGGCTCAACATGCAATGACAAGATTGCAATGGATTTATCATCCTGTGTCTTGAAGTACACTTTCAGTACCTTTGACTGTAGGGTTAGGTCAACCTTCTTATCTTGGTATGGCGTTTGAATTTTAAAGAAAGGTTTACTATCATCATCTGGACCCTAAAGCAAGAAAACATCTAGCATGTATATTTGAGGAACTTGTAATTTTTTAAATATAAACACTGCAAGTAGCTGTAATAATTGTTTTAAAAAGTAGCACTTCAGGAACAAATACTATTTAAAATGTGACATATTCCCAGGAAACCTTAACAAAGTGACCTAATATTAAAAATGTTATTTTATATAATATACTATATTTAATTTAGTATAATCTACAATTTTTTTTTTTAAACCCTGCAAGTAGCTGTAATAAATGTTTTAAAAAGTAGCACTTCAGGAACAAATACTATATAAAAATGTGATGTATTCCCAGGAAACTTGAACAAAATGACAAAATATTAAAACATGTTATTTATAACAATACTATAAAATACTATAATAATTAATTAGCTTTAGTATTAGCATTAAGTATTAAGTGAAGTATTAGCATAGCACAAGTGACAAAAACAGCTTCAAAATTCAGTGTGTATTCAAAAGTTGCGAAGTTAACGCATGACTGCACACATAGTAAACAATCTGGAAAGTGACACTCACCTGTGGATTCACTGAATGGTCGGCTTGAAAACTCTGATACTTAAACGGAACATTGACCTTTTCTTTGGGTCGAAGGAATATCTGCAGACCGGGGACGTCACCTTTCTTGTCTTGTGTGTTAAACATGTTCTCTTCCATCGGGGTGAACGTCTCAAAAAGCTGCTTAAAATGACGCCATTCTCTTGGCTCTGTTATAACACTGATTCAAATTTAAAAACATAAACTTTTAAAACGATTTCTATTATTTTTCCCTGTTATTGACAGCAAACAAAAAAGGTTTTGTTAGGCCTAATGAATGGGTAATTAGCATTAACCTGGGAAAATGCAGATAACTGTGACATATACTAACGATGATGAGCAATTGTCATTAGAGCTGAAATTAATAGATATCATTAAAATCTGGTTTTGAAAAAGGAGGCAGTTTTTGCATGTGATAGGAGAATGTTACAAAAGTTTGAGAAAGGGAATACAGATACTTTAGCTGAAGAAGGCAAAACATACCCTACTTCCACTATATAAGGGGTCCACTCCCAAGTTAAGAGAAGGTACTTCCAAGAGATCAAGTTCAATGAGCTTTAATACATCTTAAAGCATTTTGCTGCAAGTGATGATACCCATGGCCAACAAACTTGACGACAATTAAAAATACAATAGTAAAAACATATTCTGAATTTGCAGAAGATATGTTTCCTCGAAAATTGCTTGCAGGAGTGTGGAGGCTTGTGCCATTTTTGAGGAGACTCCCGCTACTTGCTGGAGGCTTGGGAAGCCTTGATTTAGTATATATTTTCATACCTAAGTTCTGGGTCATTGCTCTGTATTGAGATGGTGTGTTCAACATTGTATGGGTTCTTAAGAACAAACTCAAAGAACTGTGCATGTCCAAATGACGGATGAACTGTGTGCTCTGTAGTAATCACTGACTGCAGCATGTTTAAGATGTTTTCATTCTTGGTTCGATCCCTGAAATTTTATCATTAAAATGATAACAATAATAATAATATTAATAATTCAATTATTTAACAATAATAATTATAATAAGTATAATTATAATAATTACTGTAGCAATCATTTATAATTATATAATAAAATTTGATGTAACATAATTCATAATTCAGTCTTCTTGGCTGCCACGTTTTATGCATTTTGTAAATTTTGAATTTTGAATAAAATACCATTATATATAATAATTATTATAATAATGATGACGGCAGAAGGAATGATGAATGTGCAGATAGCGATGATCATAATGATGATTATCATAATGATGGTGATCATAATGATAATGACAATGATAATGAAAATACTAATAACTAAACATATGCATCAAAACCTAGCTACCAGTGTTCAGTTCAGTGGTTTAATGGTATGCCAACAGACTGATAGCTCAGTCTCTAGAGGTCATTGGTTCAATTCCCACAGAATATTTAAAATGTATTACATGCTCTCAGGTTTGAGCAAACATTTGTTTTTTTGAATAAATTTAAATTGTAATTTTGTAAAAATAATGGTGATATTAATTGTAGTTGTGGTGATAATAATTATAATAATTTACTGTATAGGATTTTATATTGTATAGTTTATATTTTTGTAATTAATCCTTAACTAATTTTATTATGCAATGATGATTGAATAAAATATACCAGAATATATAACATCATCATTATTTGATGAATAAAACAAAGGAATTTTAATAATTTAATAATATACAATAATGATAATTTGTTTAAAATTATTATTACTACAACTTGTTTAAAATGTGTGTGCAAATTTTATTGTATTATATTTATGATTCTTTTTGTTATTCAGCCCTGTAACTAGTGACTATTGTCACTGTTGGATGATAATGAAATAAAATGAAATAAAATAAAAACAATTTTATTAATAAGTACTTTCATCATATACACAACTTACCGGTACATCATAATAGTTTTGAGATCACGATTCCTTTGAACTCTTTCTTCTTTTTTCAGCTATAAATAAATAGTAGGACAAAAAAATTACTTTCGACAAACAAATAAATGTTTATATGGGAAATAAATATACAGTTTATTCAGTACATTCTCAACTGCCTACAAAATATAAACCTTCCTCGAGTGGGGGTTTGGGTGTACACACCTAAAACACCACCCTTGGACACTGGCCTGGTATTGGTTTGTTAATAATACTAGCATTAAAGAATTTGAGGTATTCCTACCAGAACTGATTTGGATGTTCCATTTGAAGTATTTTCAATTTGCCTTAATGCTTTCATTCGTGCCAGCTTACGTAGCTTCACTGCATCGCACTCACGATTTGACTCCTGCAGAGCCATGTCTTGTCGTGAGAAAAGTGCAGAGGCCAACTCCCGGTCTGTTTCGGTCATGTGAGATGCACGATAACTGCGTTTCTGTTGTAGACTTGCGAGTCCTTGACCTGCAAGTTAATATCAAAAATAAATTTGCACCGCCATTTAAACAACAACCATACTATACAATACTCTACAAACCATAATTGATTACATTGGAACTCAATGTACCAAGTCAATTTTATAAAATAAAAAAAATAAAAATTAATGTGAACATTTTCCTTGGTAACATTTTCCAATCTTGCAATAAGTTTAACTGTAAAAGCATTTTTCATTTATTATATACAATTTAGTTTTTATAATTTCTTTATAATTACTGTATATCATCATAATTGTACAGAATGTAATGTTGAAAACAATGATGAATAAATCCTCCCCCCTAAATCCTCCCCTGCCATTGAAATACAAGTGCTAACAAAGGTAAGGTTTAGCTAGAGTAAAAATTACTCTTAGTCCTGATCCAATTTAATCTAATGTGAACGCAATACATGTGCAACTTGAACACTACACATTGAAGCGAATAAAAAGTGTTAACAATGGCAATGGTGTGTGAATACACAGAGTGATCAAGCAAGAAAATTAGCATTTATATATATAAATGCATCAATTCTCTTAACTAATCATAGATACACTACATCAAAAGAATCAGTTATAATAATGTGGCCACATACATCAGACAAAATCTAACATAAAAAATAAAAGACCATTATTCTAAATCCTGAATAACACCACTTCTTGTTCAAGTAAATTTTTTTAATAAATACACATTCAGATATCACAATAATACACACTGAAGGCCTATATTATAGCAATAATGCACAATAAATGTCTGTCATGTCAGTAATACATGATAAATGCCTATGTCAGCAATGCTAAATGCACTAAATGTCTGTTACAACACACAAAATGCTATGTCATAGCGATAACACAGCTTCTACTGTTTGCACCATACACAGTACAAACCTGCTATAGTCCTTGACATCTTAAATTGCTTAACTTCGCCTGGAAAACAATAACCCATTATGACATATAAAGATAAAAATACTTTTTCAACATTTATAGTTTTCAACATCCTTAGGATAGACTCAAGTAACAGATAGATGAAAAAGGTTGCCGATTGTGATCGAAGCGTCCAGGTAAAAAAAAACAAAAACATTATTTTGGTTATAAAGGAAAGTTTAACAATATGATATAATTACAGTATCCAGGCTTGAAATTTATTATGCCAGCTATTTAAGAGTTTAAATTATTTAACTGGAATTATTATCCTAAAATCCCATAAAAATCAAGCAATAAAACACTCTATTAGGATTACTACCTCATAATCCAACATAATCTAGTTTGTGTAGGTGATTATTATAATATAATCCTACTTAATCCAGACCTAAGCCATTTCATTACCTGCTTTTCTAGAGCCCATATTGAGACTTCCTCCAAGGAATGCCCCACTGCCATCCTCTTGAACTACGACCTTGCTCTCCTTCAACGTAAGACTTGTAACCTTTAAAGTCTTGGCATCTGGCATGTGGCCAACATTTGCTAACCTGAGATGAAGGCGTCCTCTTAGTACTGTTTGAACTCCGATAGCACGGACACTGCCCCCTCTTGACTGCAAAGGAGAAAAAAATTATCGAACGCAATTAAAATGTATATCTCACTGATTCACTGTTTAATTGTGCATACAAACTAGCTCCAGACATTATCTCAGGTGAGTATGATTACATTGTCATGAGCATTGAAGGATAACTGCTCATGATGTCAACTAGTGACAGAAGCACATAAAACCATCCATTTTCGATATTAAAGTATAAGAGACAATTAAATTATGAAATCAAATTTTATGAAGGGTGTGAACATGAAAATGGGTAGATATATAAAGTGTCTGTACCAGATCGCCTGTCATTGGTGGAGAGTCATCGCTGTATTCTGTTGTTATGATGTTGACCTCCTGACTGACCTGTACTGCTTCACGTCCACAGCGAAGCAAATGCTACAAAAAAAAAAAAAAAAAAAATTAAATATAAAGATATTTTTGTAGTTTTTATTAACATCACCTACATGTTATTGATAGGTTTAAAACACATCTCACCTTAAGATCTATTGCACATGACCCAATTAATAGCAGTGAGTCTCCATCCCAGACGTCTATGTGTAAAGTCTGTTGGTATAAGTATTTGAAGAATAGACTTCCTTCTCCAGACTTCAGGTAGGAAGGATCAACATTATACTTTATCTGGTAAAAAAAAGGACACAATCTGAATTTTTAACATTTTATTTAGCTGCATTAAAGTCTGTTTTTTTCCTTGTGCTTGTTTTGATGGAGTTTATATTATTTAATCTTGGTAAAAAAAAAAATATGGGTAATAAGCAGGAGGATCTGCCCAAGGATGTGTTATTTGAAAATAAAATTCAACGAAAGAAACAAAACAAAAACAGAAGTCTCACCATCCAGCCAGGTTTGTTATCCAATGACTTGTCATTTGATATCCTCCGCAGCACACACGGTAGCGCTTGAGGGTCAACAGACAACTTGCCCTCAACATCCCCAAGCTGCATTCTAAACAACATCATCATAATAGATAAAAATTATATTCAGAGAGAATATCAATAAATTTTACCTAATAAACTTATGTGCCATACCACTATCATCACTGACATTATTATCAAATTAACATCATTAGTACACTACCACTATTACTTATGATGATGATGATGATGACAATGATGATGATAATGCTAAAAATGATGATGATGATGATAATAATTATGATGTTGTTACTCCATAGAATTTTATATTACTCTTACTTTGCTGTTGTAACTTTTGGGTATCGGTATCATTATATAAATACAAATTATATTCAGATAAACTTTCCTCATTATAATCTTTACTCCTTATCATTACCACTATCATTATCATTTATAATGGTAATGCTGATGATGACAATGATGATAGATGATGACGAAAATCATGATCTTTTCACTCCATAGAATCTTATTTTACTCTTACCTTGCTGTTGTAACTTGTGGGTACCGGTAGAATTGGAATGTGAAAAATACTGTTTTGGGTGTGTTGCCTGAAGCAGCTTGTTGGAACTGTAACACTCTATCATGACAAAAAATAAGCAGTAAAAAAGATACATGAATAGTGACTGAACCAACATATAGGAGTACTATAAGGATTTAGCCAAATAAGAATAACTTAAAAAGACTAAGATGTTGGAATGATGGTTGTCTCTATCCAGGAGAAAAATGGATACCTGGTGGGATGTTGTAGCATTGAATGTTCTAGTTTCGTACGCCAAGCAAGTAGCGGATGATTAGGTATACTCTCCAGGGAGCAGAGAAGGTTGCACTTTGTGCTGGTTTGCCGTTGTATGCTATCCAGTGACCAAAGTTATAATAAATATTCAAGCATTATTATTATTATTATTAAGTCCACTGTGTGGTTGAAACCTTGAGCTAATAAGTGTTATAATTAGTCTTTAAAGTGCTGAGATTTGTCTGTTTTTTCATTTCAACATGGCCGAACTTTCTATTCAAAGCCTGAGCATAGAGGAAATAATTCTATGGTCTGAGGGAGTAGTCATAACGTATTCAACAGCCAGAGGGACACATTACCTTCCAAATGCTAAGATCTGGATGATGATTTCATTGCACTGTAGTTGATCAGCATTCTCTTTCTCTGGGTGGAATGCCACATGGTCCACAGGTTCAACCACCTCTGGTGGTTGACCATGTCGGTCCTTAATCTCCGGAAACCCTGCCGCATAGAGTCTGGCATAGGCTGCACGACTGAGGCCTGGTCCACTAGGATAAAAACAGGTATTAAACAGTGATAAGAAGATCTTTGTGACTAATGGGAGACATATATTACCTTGAAGAGGATTATGATACTGTTGTTGAGAATATACTGAAAAATAATTAATTACAATGAGGATGATGAGGTAGAAGAGATGATGACAATGACAATGATGATGATATTGGTGGTAAAAAAAGGGTAAGAGAAGAGAATGATAATGACGTGTTGATGATGATGGTGAAGAGGAGGAAATGATGATGACAATGGAAAGGAAGGAAAGTTAGAGGAGAAAGCGATAATGATGATGGTGTTAATGATGATAATACTGATGCTGCTAAAGATGATAATGATGAAGGTGATAATGATGGTGCAATCATGATCATTATGATAATGACAAGGAGGAAAAACAATGGTTAAATGAGTAGGGAAGAATAGTAAGAGCAATAACGACATAACATACATTTATATATTTACCTTTTCTGGTTTGGTCCCATGGGCATGATAGGGGCGTGGACTGGTGTGAAGGGGAGCTCCTCCAACTGTTCAGCTTTTTCTGGAAGTACCGTACTAGCCTGAGCAAAAAAAGTAATATCCCTCAATAAGGCCAAAAATTTTTTATTGTTTTGGCCACACCCGACCGAACCAAAATATTCAAAATTGAGAGTCGGCATTTTATTTATTTATTTATTTTTTTTTACTACAACGAAAAAAAAAATAAAATAAGCTAAAAAGGCTGGAATAGGCCTATTCTTGCGACAGTAGGCGATGCGACAGTGTTATGCGATCGTTTTGCTCTTCAATAGAGATTTAAAAGTGGTCTTTTTTGTATTTTTGTGTATTTTCTACTTTTTAGGCATAAACACATTATTGATAAAAATTTAAAAAAATAAATAAATTTAAAAAAAAAACTTTTTTACCAACCTACCCATTTTTTTGGATTTTCCCAAAACATGGCCAAAAAAAAAAAATTTTATTTATTGGCCTAAGTGAGTATACGAAATGAAGCTTGTCATTCCAAAACCAGTGTAATGTTGCTAATTGTTAAACTGAGTAACTAACATAACAATGTGGCAGTATTGTATACTTTAGTATAGAGGAGTCATAATACTTTTATTTGGGAAATAATAATTTATTAAAAAGTCAATTTTCATGTTTTGGTCACTGAGGCCGGTTTTGGGATGGCAAGCCTCAATCAATAATCCCATCAATTAATTCTGTCTATTCATATAAAACCCCATCAATCGGACAATCCCATCCATCAATATATAAATCAAGTGATGATATTGATCGATCAATAAATAAATAAATAAATCAATCAGTTAATTCCTGTTACATTAAATGAAAGATAGCAAATCCTCCATTCTACCTCAAGATGCCTTATTTCCATTGGTTGCATAGGTTGGTATGGGTTAGGCTGTATGCTTGGGTACGATTGCTGGTAAGGTTGTTGGTAGGCCTGCGGAGCAGTGCTCAGGCCTGTGTGCATCTGGGATGCTTGCATTTGGGCTGCTTGCATTTGGGCTGCCTGCATTTGGGCTGTCTGCATCTGAGCTGCCTGTTGCTGGTAAGCCATTTGCTGTTGGTAGGCCTGGGTGCTTGAGATGTGTTGTTGTCTGAAAGTAAAATAAATATAAACTGCTCTTACACGTCTCTCAGGGATTGAAGGGGACTATCAGATTAAAAAATAAAAGATTTTTTTAAAGCATTTTTCTTTACAAATTAAAAAAAAATGTGAGGGAATTTATCTTTATTTTTTGCCAGATGCCCTACAAATTCTAAAGTTGTTGTCTGATGTAAGATATTGCCATTCTAGGCCTCTGTGGGTTATTTTTATTCCATCTGATGAGTATTTAAAAGAAAAAAAAAACATTTTCCACCCACCCATATTTATCATTTTTATAAAAAGAAGGGCAAACAAACAATTAATTTTTTTGGCCTAGAATAAATGGGATCATATAGAATTATCTGATAAGATATGTATCTGAACACTTTTCTTTTCTGATAAGATAGCAGATACACTGCCCCAACTCAGTGTTCTTATTTTTTTTGCTGATTTCAGGCCCATTGTGTTCATATTTTGTTCTTATTTTTACACACTTTTAAACATAGAACAATACTATTGTACAGCAGTATATTACTGTGCTGCATTATGGAGGGTATTACATTGTCACACCTACAGCACATAAGGTACAGATAAGATGATTTTTTTGTTTTTCCTAGTTTAAAAAAAAATAAAAACCTCCTCATTTAACTTCTAACTTTAGCCTCAATTTTTTCATTTTTTTTCTTAATTTTTAAGCAATAACAGCCTCAGTGTTCTTAAAAAGAAGTGTAGGTAACAGGTTAAATAGAATTAGGCATGGATATTAAATAATAAAATGAATAAAAAAAAAAAGTTAAATGGATCTTACCGATTTATTCTAGGAGTAGGAGAAACTTGTCTTGGTAAAGGGGGTCGGGCTGACATTCCAGGATGCATTTCCCCGACAACTGATCCATCAGTCGTTGTGTGTGAACGCAATGATTGCATAGATGGATACTGTCCTCTGTGATCTGGCCTAACCTCCTTTAGTGATTTCCATAGAAAAATAAATATTGAATAATTAACATACAGCTTATAATACAGCAGGCTGTAGAAGAATAGTGATGAAATATTATACAAGGTACTATCACATTAAAACAAACTGTTTTAACAAATTTTCATTCTTTTACTATTTTTTTATTATTAGAATTAAAGGGAAGTTTGTTTTTTTTTGTTTTGGTAAAATGGTGTGAAAGTCTGCCTAATTGTCTGTGGGTATTTTTCTGTTTCATTAAATTTTAGCAATATTTATGTAGAAAGGCACAAAATAAAATGTAAGACTTTTTACATTAAAATTATGTGTAAAACTTACTATCCTGTATCACTGACTTTAGAAACATCACATTTATTATTATTTACTTTAAAATTATCCATATCAATACCACGACAATAAATATCACATATAATATCTCCAATGTTATCAAAACTAATGAAAAAATATTGACTTTATTAGAAAATGTAATTGAATGGAGCTAATAAAAAGGCTGTAACTATAAAAATATAAAAAATAAAAAAATTAAATTTCATTAACTGAGATAGAGGGTATTTTATATACCGCATACATAGATTCTAGGCATCTGATTGGTTAAGAAGCTGGCAATAACTTCAACTCTCACTCCCATCACTTTGGGGCAATAGATTTCACCATTTCCTCATGAGCAGTCAATGTTTGTATACTATGCCATATAGTGATTCTGTATGTTAGGCATTGATACAAGCACTAGTAGAATTGTGATAGAACACACCCAGTACCATATATGGAAAAGATATCAAAGTTTAAACGTAAGTAAAAAAAAAAAAAACTTAAAACATATAATAACCAATTAAATTTATGAATTAATCCTTAAAAATAATCAGCATAATTTACTTCAAATTATTAATTGGTTTCATGAATTTGATCGTTTATGCAAAGAAATTTGTGACTTTTTTTCCATATATGACCCTGATGAATAGAATGGTTGTTTGCTATAGAAAGTAAATACCTCTGGATCCAACTACGGCAGCAGTGATGAAGTGCAAAGAAAATGAAAAAGAAACAGAAAAAAATATTAGATGACAACACATCTTGAACCATGAAATAATAATGAGAATATAATTTATGAAAAACAGAATATAAAACATTGCAATGGAAAATGATGCTATAGCAAAGGAACTGTCTCTCAATATGACATTAAAATTAATTTGGAGCCCATATTATTCTACTATTCATGCTAAGAAGAGTGTGAACATAATGTGCTCAACATCACTGATTGGGAATGATAGAGCGGATAGCCACAATTGCATTGCAAAACTGAGGAAAATAAAGTTGGCTATAGCCTGTTTCTTTACAGCAATAACTGGTTATTATCATTTTATTCAACTGTTATTATTAATTTTAAATATGTGGATCATACGAGGTTTGCCATCCCAATCCCAGCATACTGTCACTAATATTGTTACACAGAGTAATTAGCATTAGAATGTGTCAGTATTGTATACTTCAGTACTGAGAAGCTGTAATACTTTTACTCATAACTTTGGCAAAAGTAAGTGGATTCCATTAAATGACCCATCATTTTAAAGCTTATAATGTGGAGAATGAGAATTTATTAAAAAGTCAATTTCTATGTTTTGTCACTGATGCTGGTTTTGGCCTGGCAAGCCTCATATATTTATAAGTTGTTTTCCTTTTTACTTTAAAAAAAACAATGGAAATTTAGTTTACTACATTTTCATCAAATTATAGGGAGCAGGCTTATTTGTTAGTAAATGTTGATTTTGCATATTTGTTTCCAAATAAAATGAAAGTAATTATATGTTTGTTATTATTATTATTATTATTATTATTATTATTATTATTATTATTATTATTATTATCATTAGCCATTCTTTGACAGAATATTTGGCTACCAGTGACTAGCATGCCTAGTATGTTATTATGGCTTCAGGTCACACACAACTAACATGTTCTAAGGTTTGTTTCCTGATGTAAGTTTGTCTGCAAATGTTGCCCATGTTGTTAAAGTCTATTTCAGTGATAAATACAGGAATGAGGAAGTCTGTCTATGCTGTATTTTATATTTTAAGATATTAGAGGAGTTGAGAGCTGACCAATGGAATAGTGGAATAAATTGCAGATTTCTTTCTAGGTGTAGTTATGGTGTGTTTTAATAATACTTTGGGTTGCTTACCAACTGGCCTTTGACAAGTGGGTCAGATAACAGGGACATTGGTGAAGTAGGTCTTGACCCAGCAAGAGTCTATACATAAAATCAATTTATGATAGAAAATAAAAGAAAATGCACAGAAATATTTTTAAAACTATCAACTAAAAAACAATCATAATTATTGTATCAACATAAAATGTCTTGCAACAATCTATAAACAAATTCACAAAACAATATAAATGCAAGATTTTTCTAAATGTTAATACATTTAGGAGAGAAAAATGCTAAAAGTGTTAATATAAGCAACAGTCAAAGTTACAAATCAAAACCCTCATCAATACAATAAACTGTGCACCAGTACCTATATATGAACCACAATCACTATGTTGCTAGGCCACCCAAGGACTTTTAACCCTAGTTATAGGTCCTTACCTACAAACATCATGCACAGAACAACCACCAGGCACCATCATTACAACCATATCACTACCACATGACCACACCAGTACTGAACCAAAACATACCTGTACCATTACCAACAACTGGTCACCAAAGATATGCATACTCCTATGAGCTATAAATAATTAAAGCCCAACACACACTGTGCCGACAGTCGTCGGCAAATGTGATATCATAGAGGAATGCAGCGCAAAGAGGCTGCGGAAAGCGAATCGTTTCAATGAAAAACCACTCAGTCTGCCGTCGACAATCGGCAGACGGCGCCATGTGCATTGTGTGCCCGACTTGAGGCTCTTACCTTTAACTTGAAGAAAAACTGAATTTGTCCATTGGCTTTTGAAGACTCTGCAACATCTGGGTCAGGCACTTTAAACATGAACGTGTTGTCAGGGTTTAGAATCGGACCACCTTGCAGCGGTAGAATCACACCTGTTTGGTTTTCTGTGAGGACCGGTGACCAGGAGGCCCATCGCAAGCACACCTTCATTGTTTGACTGTGATTGAAGCTAGCCGACAGCTGCATGAAAGGTAAGTATGAAATATACAAAATAAATACCAGTGTGTAAGCAATATTTAAAAAAAAAAATTGAAATTCATTATAATATTAACCTATTGCTGGAGAAAGACTCCCCAGATGCCAAACCACAAAGTTTTGTTATTTTTCGCTCCAGGTTTTCTGTGATGAGTTTTATATTTTAACTGGAGTACTTGTTTAGTAGCAAACTAATATACAGCCACTGGAACCAGTATGCTTTATAAACTAAGTCTGTGGAACCAGTATGCTTTATAAACTAAGTCTCATGTGAGGACTATGCACGTTCTATCTATTCACAGGGGAACAAAATCCTGATAACAAGATTTGAACCCAGGATCCTAGGATTGTATGGTCACCATTTTTAACTACCAACCTATAATTCCACTTTTGTGTTTATAGTTAATTATAATATATAGATATTACCAAAATTAGTTCACCAATAGAGGGCAGGCTTTACCTTTTTTTCTTGAGCACCACCCATTGGTAAGTTGAGTATGTACTCCAGGACAAATACAATGGAATAAAGAGGATCTTGAACCAGATCTTGCAGTTGAACTTTGTTCTTCATTACCAATGTAGCACCAAGACTCTCTCTGGTGGACAAAAATCATTCCCATAAAGACAATGCTCTTTTTTAATCACAAACACAGCAATAAATATAACTCTCTCTGAAGGCATGGACTAAAAATAAGCACACACAATGGTAATTCTTCAGTAATACAGTAGCACCACAACTCTTTTTGGTGTACAGAAATTAATAATATAATAAAAGTTAGTTCTTATCATTGTAGCACTGAAACTCTCTATGGTGAACAGATCATCAATATGCACATGTAGCAATAATAATGCAACCAAATCTACAGTTTTAATCAAATTATTCTGATTCTTCGTGTGAATTTTGAATAGAAATATAACATGAATTACCTTGAACCAGCAGATGATGGCCTGCCCTTGCTCTTCCTCATGCTAGACCTACTCCCTCTGCTACCGAATGCGTCTGTGTCGAGTAACACAATATGGGGCTTATTCACGTAACCCCAGCCATTGTGGACCCCAATCTGGAGGCGCCGTTCAGAGATTGCGACTGATCCAGAATCAACTTTCAAATCATCCTATTTTTAAATAATAATAATATACAACACCCAATCAGGAAACTTGTAAAACACAGAAGGGCAGGGATCATCATATACAACATATACATAGATCTTAAATTTGATTAGATGAAACTACAGTTTGATAATTGTACCACAGTTACTGATGCCAGATGGCAAGAAACTAGGATGTGGATATAAAACACATGCATATTTAATAATAGCCAGTGGATAATTAGGAGGGTACAAATCAAACTGGGACAGATATCCTACCCAGACACCTGTTATATCAACTAACACCTGGGTCAGATATGTCACCTGGAAACTTGTTATAACAAACAACACTTAGAATAAATATGCCACCTTGACACCTGTTATATAAACCAGGATGGTACAAATGTTTAAACCTACCCTAGCCATTCTATCATTGTTTATTAACTTGCAAAGCTCATCTTCAAATCTATCCAATGTTGGGTACAGGTTTATTTGCAGTCGGTCCAATGTTGCTGGGAATTTTTTAAGCGGTCTCAGTTTTCGGAAATTATCTCCACCTGAGGAAGAATCATATGAGATTATAACAATTACTATTCATTATTATATTTATTTAAAAAAAATATTACTATTTAATTTTTTATTATAATATTATACAGATATTCCACCTGTACACCTGGTACATCAACAAATACTGTACCTGGGACAGAATGCACCTGTCCCCTGATCCAGCACTCACCTGTCTCAGGGTCTGCAATAGCAACCCCTGGTACAATGTCACTCCCGCCAACTATGACATTCTCTGGCAGCAGGTGCATGATCTTCTCCATGTAGCGATGTGATTTGATAGTGTAGGTCAGGTGACAGTCTGATATCAGCAACATACTGGGATTGTCTGTTAAAAGATATTCTTAAATCACCATCATATCATTATGATACTCCTATCATATCATGATTGTTGTCACCATACCTTTGTTGTTGTCATCGTCATTTGTATTATCTATCATTATGTACTTCTAATTCTATGCAGACACTCATCAACACCTGTTCAGCATCTGGATGAGGGCAGGGGCTGTGAGATGGACCAGTACACTGGGGTTCCCCCTATTCATCTCGGAAGATGTATAGGGTTTTTTATAGTGCACATGAGCCAATTGTATACACTGGGCTTACAGTTTATAATCCTTATTCTAGGATTGCAAGGATGATTGCAAGGATTCCAACAACCAACCTATAATTCCACTTATGTGTTTACAGCTAAAGATAGTAATTCGAGCCGTTCGAACCAGTGCCGATATATAGGATGTTTGTTGTAGACCCCATTCATAAGATATATACACGCACTTGGCATAGTCAGTAAAAAGTTCTATCACAGTGCCATCGACGAGTATACTCGCCCCTAATATTTTCCCGCCAATTTATTAGACACTTCATTTTGATGACATATGACTAGATAAAATTTCAAAAAAGTATGTTTGTACATGTAAACTTGTTTTGGCACACGGGAAGGAACCGTAAAAAAAGGTCTGGCAGTCAACGTGTTAAAGAGCATCATATAACAAATGTACTTGTTGGTTGGATAAATATCTCCTTTAAAATACCTTCTATGTCTCCGTCGACGTAGAGGAGAGCTCTTGGTGTACCATGCATCAGATCCACCTTTTGAGTAGGCGCTGGCTTACCTTGAGATGTGTCTGGGATGTCATCTGAAAAAGAGTCGGTTTTTTGGTTAAACTGCGATATCAAATAGCAAGGACATGTGATGACAATTATGATATGACGATTGAAATGTTAATGATGATAACAATGAAAATTATAGTGCGGTAGTGTTAAAGATGATAACGATGGGGATGAGGATGATCGTGTTGAGGATGACAGGGGTCAAAAGTCTCCCAGAATTTGCTGGAGTCTCCCGGAAATTGTACGGCCTCACACACTCCCGAAAGCAAGCAAGAATCTCCCGGAAAATAACCCAGCTCCCGCAAATTCACATTATTTGCATGTTTTTACTTTATTATCAATTCCCTCACGGAGGTTAGTGCCGATGGGTATCACCACATGCGCAGCAAAATAAAATTAAATATGGTATGTTAAGAAAGCTCACTTAACTAGATCTCCCGGAAGGGATTTCTTACAACTTGGGACCCCTGGGATGATGATGATAACGATGATGATGATGATGATGATGATGATTACAAAGATGATGAGGATGATAATTATCATGATGCATTAAAATGATGATAATAATGATAATGATGATGATGATAAGATTGGAGACGATGATAAGGACAATAATAAATTATGATGACCATAAAAATAATGACATTCGATGGTGGAAATGATGATGATGATGATGATGCAGAAAATTGCAATGGTGATGATGATGCAGAAAATTGCAATGGTGATAATAAAAATATACTTGGGATGATAATGGTTAATAATAACAATGGTGACAAAAGAGAGCCTCTACTAAGCCATTGCCCCTTACCTTCTTCAAATGGCCTCAGTAAGCCCCACCCGCAGCTGATTTGCTGAGCATCTCCACTTTTTGGGAAAATAGTACCAACAACCTCAACAACCAACACTATGTTAGGGTCAGTCAGGGATGTGTGAAAATAAACAGGCTGCGGAAACATAATTAACAATATTTTAGAAAATCTTAGCTACTGCATCATTTTTGTATTAGCGTATAATTAAGTGATCACATGATATATTATGCTACTGTGCAGAAATGAAGTTATTGTGGGTAGGGGCAACCAGCCTTGGCATTTTTCACCCAGTCCAAAGCTAATCTCATGGCCCTCCACCCACCTTTAAAAACCACCTTGCTGTTCCTTAAAATCCACTCTTATTAATTAAGTGTTTGCCAATGTTATCACCCACCCACCCTTAAAATGCCTACCACCCATCCTTAGTTTTCTACAGCCACAACCTTGACTGTGGGTAGTATCATACCGTATTATACTGTAGCTTAGGATTTCCTGTATTTTCCCCCTTGCATGCCTTCTTTGGCCCCTTCCATGTTTTTCCAAAGAACCTTTTGTAGGTGATATCAAAAAGACTGAGTCGAATCTCATATTCAGGTTTCTTACTTGTGCCATCCTAAAAAGATGAAAGCAAATTTATTAAATAACACAATCCAAAATTCATTTTAAATTATCATTTTCATAAAAAAAAAAATTATTTATTTGGGTTACAAACATTATATATTCACATGGACTTTTCTTCCATGAAAGAGGTAATCTAGATTTTATTTATATACACTGTACATGGACAGTATAACAACTTCTCCATATACTAGAGTGGAACTTGCCTAGGTCGAATTCAAAATGGCATTAAAAAATTGTTTGACTTAAATAATATTAGACTTACAGACCGTTAACACTCTGCCCACCAAACACGGAGGTATTCGTGTTTGGTAATGCAATGCTTGACCGCCAAACACGGAGATCTCCGTGTTTCTGGTTTTTTTTACAGAATCCGATGGATGGGGTAATTACTGACGTGTACTAACAATTTGAACACTATATTCAGTCTGTACTGTAACTATTTCACTATTTGTTTGTTTACATTAGTATACAGCGGTATTGGTTTACTTTCATGAAATCACAATTATCTCAGTTTTGTTGTGCGAAATTGCGTAAATCTCCCAAAGTGAGTCATTTTCATTTTACTGTTACGGGTCACAGATTGTGCTTAGAATAAAGTGTTTGGTACCACTGTAAATCTAAAATGTTTGTATTCTTTTAGTATTCACCACATGTCAATCTGATCACATATGCACTCTGAACGAGCTTAGGAAAAGTGTTAAAATTTGCTAAAAAGTCTGGCGGTGGCCGATACTATTTTTTCAAACCCCTGGCGGTCAGAGTGTTAATTAATGGAAAACACAACAACTTTGCATGTAATATACGATCGACTAATAATGATTTGAGTTAGGCAGTCAACTTAGGCAAGTTTACCTGCATACTCTTTCCAAAATATATTTTTGTACTAATTAAATTTAATTAATGTAAATAAGACTCAATTAATTAATTGTAACAAATTGTAATTAACTGTAAGTAACTAGACATACTATTTGGTGAATTATTAATTTTTTATTGAATCATACATTTTGTAAATTACATTTTCTAAGTACTGTACATTGTAGGATGAATTCCTGTTATTATCATGTCGTGTTAACTGTATTGTATTGTTTAAGTATGATTGATTGTATGTACTCTGGGTTCGGCTTGCGGCGTAGAGCGCTTTATATATTTCACTTATTATTATTGGTGTTATTTAGTGTAGCAAGTTGTTTTTTTTTTTAAATATATTTTTTTCGGTGTAAAACACACAAAGGGTGAACCATAATGGTTCTTCTGGTTTATTTGGGACAATCTCTCCTCTTTGCAAAGAATTCACTACATGCTTTATTGTGCATATAGCCATTGTTTGCACACATGATAAATGGCTTTCATGTTTACACAAAAGATGATGCGTTACTGAAATTTGCATTTTAACCATCCACCTAAAACACAAGAAGAGCAGTGGAAAGTACTGAACCAGAGAGAACAAGGTTATATAAAGACCTCAACATTTCAGTCAGCACACATACAGTGGCTACCACCAATTTAGAATTTAGCCAACTGTAAAGCTGCTACCTACTCTGTGTAAAGTCAACTACAAACATAATGATATTTACAAACCAGTTGAGGACTGCTTTTAATGTTTTGAACATCTTGAAGGACGATAACAAAAGCCACCCAACTTTGTTCTTCAGATGAGCTCTCCTGGTATCCATGTTTTATATGATTACATGAATTCAAACTGCTTTTCAATATTCTCAACTCCTCTGGTGACTGCTGGACAATTCTGACAAGGGGTGGTGTTTGTGGGCTGGGTGCTTCAACAACCTCATTAAGGGGGTAAATCAGACTGGTGATGCTTCCAGGTAGGGTACTACCAGGTGTTAAAGAGTCACCACCAAAGGTAACTGTTTGTCGTGACTGTCTACCCGACTTTGGTCGATAGTGGTTTTCAAATGTGCTATTTCCAAAAGATTGGCGAACCATATCTGGCAATTCACTGCCTCCTTGTGTTTGTTGGAATCTAGCTGGTGACTCACTGCGGTGTGAAAATTCTTTCCCATGCCGTTGTTGGTTATAAACTTCCTCTCCAATTAAATCCCCAGTTATATTCCTTTGCTTACTACTCTTCTTTTTTGCCAATGGGGTTACATGTCTGGTAACAACAATTTCTGGAACGGTAAGAGAACCATCTTGCAGGCTGGGACTTGAACGTTGCATTTCAACCATTTGGCACAATCAATCCACAACAATTCTATACTTCAAAATTATCAATTTCCAAAGGCCATAAAAATCTCAATATGAGAATAATATACTTCAAGCCCATTACCTACATACCTGAATCAATGGTAATGGAATCTCTATTCATTGATTGGTTCAGCCATTATCCTATCAAGATAGACAGACCAAACATTCATACAGCTAAAGAGATAGTCCTTTAATTATAGGTGCTTCAATACTTGCACCGAAAGTCTTTAATAATTCTCAAGCTAATATGATAATGTTGAGAATTCTTCCTTTTAGTAGCACCAAATTTCAAGATACAATGCAAACATTTCTGTCAGCCATCAGTTTAGATGAATATCCAAAAATGATTATTAATGTTCAACTTTGAATTATCTGTGGCAATGTTGGACTGTGATTTCATTTAAATGACATTTAAGTAAACATTAGCATTCATCCAGTAGACATACCAAAGATAGCAACATAATACAAACAATTCAAAAGTCCATTTAGATTCCAGGTATGAATTTACTGTACAACATTCACAATTCACAGTTCACAAAAAATAAACATTAATTTAAATTTTTTTCATATTTAAAATTCTATGGAAAATTATTGCTTAATCATTACTTAAATCTGCTTGATTGACTTATTTTATCAAAATTGAATGTAGTGGTTGGACAGGGGGTGGGAGAGGAGACAAAGAAAATAATTTTAAAAGTGTACAGTATTTTTACCACCAAATATTCTTTTTCTTAAAATAAACTTCTTTATAAGAAGATAAACCAATTATGACAACATAGATGTGATATTATACTAGTTATAACATAAATCTAGCTATGACATCATTCTGGCTATGACATCATTCTGGTTATGGATGACATCAAAGTAGTTAATGACATCAGACTGGTAATTTCATGACACCAAACTGATGACATCACACTTGATTTTAATACAGATCCTTCTTCTTTTAATTTTTCTCAATATTTGTTCAATTTAATCTCAATAATTCAGTCAAGTAGTATTCACAAACAACTGCTCATAGCTAAAAAGCATTCACTAAAATTCCACTGCTGTATAAGTTCCAAGTAATTCTAGTATCTTTTGAAAACACACAAGTCCTATCGGAGCCAAATATCCTGATACAGGAGTGTGTTACATATCAGCACCGCAAAGCAATAACCGAATCTTGTCATTAGGTAAGCAGTATGCGTTTACAGTATACTATTTAACTGCGTTGTATTCCACAGCAAATATATCCTCCACACCTCTCCAGATACAGAATTCGATCAATAATGATTTTACTGTCAGGCTAATCATAGTAATATGAATAATGTACTGGGCCGCCAATGTACTGTACCAGCCACATAAAAAAATGGAACTGGTATACAAAAGGCAGACTCTTCAAAATGACTTTCAAGATCACAACAAAGCAATACTTGTTATAATTATGACGTCCTTCACACATATTCTAAGAAGTATGGTAAGTTGTATTTTGTTAAAAACGTTTGTTTATCAGAGGAATATTCTGATTGGCTGTTGGTGAAGTGAGCCTATCCAATCAAATATGATCATGGTTACGACTCATACACAGGAATAAACATTGCTGGTCTCTGTAGGCCTACACTATATATGGACAAAGAAACCTTTCTTTAGTAAACCAGAAAATTGTCAATATACCTACTTCAAATTTGTAATCCTAAACAAGAAACCCAGTCACACATGGTTAAACAACACCATGAGAAATTACTGAAGTGTAATATATATATCACCTTGGTAACACATACGCACAAGAATTCAATGAGGTTGTGAGAATTTACCAAAGATGTGCAAAGTATGGAATATACTATACTCTTCTCTCACAAACATAATGGGTTTAAATTAAATATCTAATGCCGTGTTTTTGCAGTACTTATTACCCTATAAATTATCGGAAAGTAGCCATTTTTTATTTTCGCTGAGGAAACAGGGCCCAAATTTTCGAATAAATTTTTGCATGAGAATTTATCGGAAAAAGCTCCAAATGCGAAAATAAATAACCTTGTACCGATATCAAACTAGAAGTTAGTAGGGGCCTAGACCTCAGAAACTTATAAAAATAATAGAAAGTGTGTAAATTTTTTGTGCTTATATTAAATACAAAAAAAGCCTGAAATGGCTGCGCTTGATGTCAATGGTGCCTGGCTGGTCCTAGGCCTATCCCTACCTGTCGTTCATTGTACTGTAAAACACATCAAAAACAAAGCTAGCATTCTTCGTCTTCACAATCCCTATACATGTACAATGAAACATTATTGTGACAGTACATTTCCTAGAGTGAAATAGTACCGAACGACTTTGTTCTTGGCCTAGGCCTATCCATCTCGCGCAAAAAAATAAGGTCACCTGCTAGGTCAACAAAATGAATACTGAATTCTAGGAAAATTCTCAAAAGATATAAAATATAATAGCAGATTCAGGTGTAAACATACAGTAACATAATCCTAAAGTGGAATGGCACAACAGGTTACAGTACTTATGTGCAGTGAACTCAGGTGAAGTTTTTAACTTGGTTGATGACCAGAAGTGTCAATCACTCACAGAATTGATATTAAGTGAACTTTTTAAACACTTGATTCCACTTGCACTTAATAACTTTGTTATATATATTTCTCATTTTTTCATCCAACTATACCTATCCAAACAAATAATAAGACTTTTAGAGGGAAAGATTCAGGACAAAACAACGGACAGCGAAGTAACTAAGGTATTAAACTGACACTAAAATAATTTATTGCCCAACAAAATGAAGGAAATGCATTTGAAAACTGGCAAAAATTCAAAATCACAGCACTGAATATCAAAATATGAAATTAGGTAGTGGCGGTGCCAGGGAGGGGGAAGAGAGTTCAAGTACCCCCACCCACAAGAGCTCTTTGGGCAGTCGGACCCCATCAGACAGCTTAAGGCAATAACCTCAAGCCACCCGTCAGACAGCTTAGCCGCCCCCCTCCCGCACCAGAAAATATATTCTACAACCAACACTGAACTTAGGGTCAAACAACACATGGACAAAAATGAGCAGTGTTCATACTGTAATCTCAAGTTTAAACATTTTAATTATTATTAGTACAAAATTGAATAGTTTTTACCATACAGTAGTTGGGAGAAAGAGGAGGATACTGGCATTATTACAGGGTTGAACAAGAACAATAGAATGTGTGACTGCAGCAAACATAACACCATCATATTACAATTAATGTATTGTACATACCGTATTAAGTATTTAGTAAAATTTTACTGGGTTTGAGTATTACTATTAGTTAAAATATGTTTTATTAAATTAATACATTTACTAACTGTAGGTTCATTAATCTTGGGGTTGGGGTCAAGGAAATGTCAATATTCAGAGATCATTGAGCTAATTATAAGTCTGCACTATAGTGCTATATTTGAATTGATAAATTATTCTTGTGATAATCAATAATTAAACAAATATTAGAAAAACTGAATGACTTATTGCCCTTGTCAATTAAAATATTTGATATTGGATCTACAGTACATATGAATTTTACAAATAAGTAAGTATCATGTCCCAAATATCATTTCCTATACTGATATTAAAAATCTGCAGGGTACTAATGTTGCTATAGTAACCCTAAATATTATCTTTCTGTTCATGGCATGAATAGATACCTTGGCAACATGGCAAATAAATAGGTTTCTTACACTGTCTTCACTACTAAATCAACAACTTGCACACTAAAATATTAAAATCAACAGTGCTAAGTTGTTTTTCTTCACTCAGGAGTACTGTATATAATTGATGTGAATGATTTTGAATAACATACAGTATTATGGCACATGTTGAGTGGTTGAATGACGTAAGTGTAACAACTATGAGCATTCTTAGTAATTATGTGTGATAAAATGGGCTAACGAGGCTGGATTTGGATCTATTAAATTGGCAGTCTCGAAAGAGGCAGAGAAGAAATCCTTTCTGGATTTTCCCAAGGACTGTTTTTTTTATAACTAATTTATAAAACTACACAAACTACAATTTGCAACAAAATGAAAAAAATAATATTAATATAAAAATACACAACATGCCCATTGTATAATAAAATGCTAATTTAGAGCAATGAGATGAAATTTAAATAAGAATTAGGTAATAGTTAATTAGAGCCTTCATTTGGCCTCCAGTGAAAATTTCCTATTTCATTCCATATGCACAATTTGTATTTTACACTAAGCACTGCAACGCTTACTGAAATTTGTGTGGAAATTTATGCATTTTTTGGGGGCCTAAGGTGGTGCCCTCGTTGAATTGATTGCATGGTACACAAAGAGTGTAAACATTCAGTGTCTCTGTAAGACTATTCAAACACATTATTACTATAAAAAGTACCATAAAAAAACAATTATCTGAGTTATTTCTTATATAAAGTTTGTACAGTGATCTTATTTGTTTACTGTAACCCTTAACTCAAGATTGCATAACAATAAAAACATGTTTTTTATTAACGGTAACAGTTAAGTAGTTGTTTGATGACTGTTGATGTACTTTGATGTTTGACCAGAGAGCTCTACATTGTGAAATATCTTTTAACAGTATTTTAATAGTGTTTCTAGTTTTCAATAATTATCCAAAGGGTTTGAAATTTTATGAATGGCACTTTAACGACCACGATATTCAACGCGTATAACACATTAAGAAACAGTTTCAATGCACTCAACTAAGTGGAGAAAACAATAAAAATCCAGAGAGCACTAAGCCAGTGTGCTATTCATCTGCACCACTTATTAAAGGGCTAAACCAACCCTGAATATAATTCACAGGAACAGAACATGGAAAAAAAGATAGAACACTGTAAATTCGGACACTCAATGCGTAGTATGACCGTAGGTCAACTAATCCAGCTTCGCTCCCTGTGAGCGCTAGATGATGCAACACCGTCTGTTGATTGTCACTGGCAGTCTCAACGGATCTTCATTAAAAACGACACCTTGCGCAAGCGTCGTGGTGTTGCATTCCGCATAGAATCGCGTTAGCCAACGACTGTCTGTTGTAGTGAGTGCCCTGCTTTAGATAACACAAATAATAAGACAATCTACTCATCCTAAAAAAACCTTTTTACTCGTCAAATCGGTAAAAAAAAAATTAAATAATGCAGTGCAATAATATCAATATATAAGTTAATCATAGAAACCTTGAAATTTTCTAATGCTACAGTACAAATCTGACATAAAAAGATGTTTGAAGACTGTTATTGGATGAAGCGTGTGACTTAATAGAAGAGTCTACTCTTTTAATTGAATGCATATTGATTTTCAGGACACAAAATTTCTTACATTTTTAATACAGAACAAGGACAATAAAGAAAAGAGGAAAAAAAATGTATTAAGTCACAAAAGAGTGCTCTCTACTGGAAATATAGCCTTGGTATTGATTGACATGGTAACCTGGATTAGTTATGCATCAAATTAATGGGAGTTTGGAAATAATCCCGGGTTTAAATCCCTAATTAAAATATAGGAGGGGGGTGGGAAGCATACAAACAAGCAGATGAATGAACAAACTAATTAATTATGATTAATGATACAGATAGATGGATGGATGGATAAATTACTTATTAATTCAATGAATCATGAATGAATACCTAAAGATCCACTGATTAATCTCAGATGAGATAGTATAATACATACTCCAAGTATTGAAATGCACGCTATTGTGTCAGGATTCAATATTTCGACATTATAAATTTTAAACATCCTATTTTACATTCACCAATAAAATTTTGTTTTTATTTTCTCCTCCATCTGGATTGTTTTGCCAAAACTATTTGCTAAATAAGAAAACCAAATTTTATTTATAATATTTTTATTCTGCCCCTCCTCCGATAATCTTATTTAATAAAATAAGTACACGAAACAAGGGCAAAAAAAAAGTCTCGCTGTAACAGCAAACCAATTCTGGATCTG